ACTTAACCCCTTAACTGTCACCGTCCCACCTGTGGGATGCTTGGCGCTCTTTTTTTGTTGTCCTTTTTCTCTATCAAATCTTTAAGTAATGGCATGAATTATATCACAAGTTAAAGTCATAAGTTCCCAGAAAAAATAATACTCAAGTAAAGTACCGATACTCAAAAAGTGTACTTAAGTACAATGCTCAAGTAAATGTACTTAGTTACTGTCCACCTCTGAGTATATATATATCAATAAAAATTATTAGCAGTCAACATTTATGATCGAGTTTGATGACATACCTTTCCCTTGCTGTAGTCCCAGAGCTTTAACGTACTATGAGCTAAAGCAACAATTTATTTATGTGTTCTTTTTATTTGTATTACATGACAATTGTTTGCATTGTTGGTCGTTTTACTGAATTAATATTGTCTCAGAAACTGCACTGACTGGAAAAAATAAACAGTCACTAGGGAGATGAATTCACTTACTTGTCCAGAGTTGCAGCTAGAATGTATTTTCCATTTGGAGAAAACTTCACAAATGAGACAGGAGGGTTGTCATCATCTGGAAATAAAACAGATCAGTTCGCCATCAACACACTCTCCTAATTTGCATTTAGAAAGGCTACATTTATACAAATTATGCAGCACACACCATCCTGCCATCTGGTACCACAACAACACCTCAAGATTTAAGGCTAAAACAAAGTCCAACTATGATAAGAAAACTTGATATCGTGCTTTCCAGCTTCACCAGTCACATAAGTCACATACCTATAAGAGTTTTCAGACATTGTCCTGATGCAGTGTCCCGCAGTCGGCTGAAATACAGTCCATAACATTACGAATGGATAAATAATGTCATCACATCATGAGTACAGATGGAGGCTTACTTGAAGGTGCTGTAAGTAACTGTTTACTAATGGCACACATAAAATGTCTGTTCTAACGGACAGATATCACTGAAATATCCAGTCAGAGAATGCGCTATGCCACTCTGCCTTTTTATACGTTTTTGGGTTTAGAAACATTAATGAGTAAGCTAGCCAAAAAGCTGAAATGGCTAACAGGACTTTTAATAGAAGGCACAACTCAACTTACCATAAACCATCATAGCTACTGGATACTATTAGGGATCCATCTCTGTTGAAGTGAACCTGAAAACCGACATCAACCAAATCTCCATGCAAACTAATAAAAATATTTTTGGGAATTGATGTTTACTGCTGAGACGGGGTCCGAGTGAGCTGGCAGGGTCTTCAGACACTTTTCAGTTTTGACATCCCAAATCCGTACGCTGCTCATCAAACTGTCAACATGAACCACATCACTCAATCACTAAATGACATACGATGACAAACACTGTCTCATATTTATTTTTATTCATTTAAAAAAACAATTCATCTGTTTGTGTACTTACAGATCCAGAAACAACAAGATTCGACTGTGGGTTGAAGTTACAACAGAAGACGTAGTTGCTATGGCCTTTCAGTGTCTTCAGACATTTTCCCTTCAAAAGCATGACAGAGAATTAGGATACAATACTCAGAAACTGATATGGATGACACGTACAGCATCAGATACAATTATTTGACAAGTTTTACTGAATTCATATCCCAGATCTTCAGTGTTTTGTCATCTGATGCAGACACCAAAAGATTGTAGTCTGATGACCAGGCCACATCTGATATTCCCTGCAATTACAACATGGGCAGTGAAACACATCACAATATGATCTTTAATTGCTGGAACAGGAAGATTCTTAAGAGTATCTTTTTACCATCTCTTTAATACATCTATATTACATCTGCGTTTACAGATTGAGCCTTTAAACAGTTAAATTCACCCAAAATGAAAATTTTCACTTACCATCATGTCTTACCAAACCCATAAAACTTTCTTTTATCTTTGAAACACAAATGGAGATATTTTTAATGAAACTGTTTCTCCACGGAAAGTTATGTCCCTACATGGAAACTTTATTCCACCAAATCTTTGATGCTTCAGAAAGTTCATAATGACATCGTAAAAGTAATTCATGTGAATCGAGCGGTTTAATCCAATTCTTCCAAGGGACACAACTGCTTTATATTATGAACATATTTAATTTAAGTCTTTATTTAAATATAAACATTGATCAAAAACACATACATAGAGCTCATCAAATATGGTCAACTGTATTTGATTACTATACAATGTCTTTATGAACTTTTTGAAGTGTGAACGTTTTGGTGGAATGGACTTTCAACAGAGGGACAGAAATGTCTCAGGTTTCATTAAAAATAGATTTATTTGTGTTTTGAAGATTAACATCTTATGGGTTTAAACGACATGAGTGCAAAATGTAATTGATGACAGAATTTTTATTTTCAGGTGAACTGACCCTTTAAAGGAATAGTTCACTTTTCAAAAAAAAAAAAAAAAAACTTTTCAACAAAAATAATTTTCAGCAAATATGTATATTTTTTGTGGACTAGTCCTTTAACTTAGATTAAAACTCACAAGTTTATGTCCTGCAAGACTCTTCTCAAATTTTCCATCAAAAGCGCCCCATATCAAAATCTTCAGACATTGGTTTGCTTTCTGTAGATTAAAACTGAACATTACAAGTACATATACTTACATGAACTGGCCAACCATTCACCACTAGGGCTAAATTTGACTGATGATATATCTTTTGTGTGACCTGCGAGTGTGAACTTCAAGGAGTAATTTGGTTTCACGGGAGCAGACTTCAGAAATAGATGTACACAGACTACATCAACAGAGAAACAACTTAATTTATGGCTGAAGCTCTTCATTTAAAAAGGCAAAGCAACCAAAAGGCAGGTTTTCTACCTTCGAGGATGATGATGCTGAATGTGTCTTATGTGTTTCTGTGTCCAGCTTCATCTCTAATGCCATCTCTGCACCTCATGTGGGTCAGATACGGGGGCTCTAAATAAGAGATCATAGTTGATCATAAAATGGTTGAATAGAGTGAAATGATGTTAACAAATGCCATTTATTTCAGTTGCCTAGAATAGCATGGCAACCAAGCCCGTTGCTTCTTCTTACTAAGTCAAATGTTTATCCAGAACTGCGAATGGTGTAGTGTATATTTTGACAGCCAGACACATATCACATAGCACGGATAACAACAGACCCAGTACTTAAATTCAGCTCAGGTTTACTTATCACATAAGCGACGAAACACGACCAAACAAATAGAAACTTACTGGAGGGTTCTAACTAGAGGTCTTCTCGGGTTCTAAAATCTGTACCCGACCCGAATCACTTCTTACCCGAACCCGACGTGCATAAATTAATTTTGTTTTTTTAAGAAAAACCCTACCCGAGACAGACCCGATGAAATTAGACCCGAGTCCGACACGACCCGACGGCACTTATTTTCGAACCCGACTGGACCCGAACGTAAACGGCATTGACGTGTGTACA